CCCCCCCCCCCCCAAGGTTACAGGTCATTCATATGCTGTATCTCCGCCATTTTCGAGTAGTCTACTCTATCCCTGCATGTTTTAGGTTTTGGTGCAGTTATACATTTTTTGAAAGTAAACCTGCACGTTTCAGTGTGGGGAACATTAAGACATAACCATATAAAATAAGGCAGAGTGAAAATTCCTTGGCCCCTCTTGGAATTCAGTTCTCGGCCTCCTCTGACTGAAACCCGGCTACGTGTCTGACGATAGCTATATGAAAGCCTTAAGTTACTGTAAGACGTTATTATGAGAGGCAAAAAAAATATATCCTGACGCGAAATATATTGCGAAAAAAATCTTGCGCTCCACTTTTACAGGAAAAAAAATATTGTCTTGTTCCCCTGGGCGGAAAAAATTCTTGCACAGTCTGAATCTTCCAACTCTCCCCTCCCCTCAAAAATGAAATGGTCCGCCCCTTAGGCTAACGCAGGAGTGGAAAATGTCTTTTTCTTTCTGGAAACCTGAGTGGGCTTAAAACGTTCTGTAAACGATTACAATATATAGAGAAAAATAACAAAAATATATTGTTTGTGACTGTCTGTTTTACCTTACATGGATTGTATTCATGAAGATGAGTTGAAGTCGTGTGAAGCAATAAGACTTTAAGACTGATAAGGCATACATGATAAAGCTCCAAATAGTCAAAGTAGTTTAATAGTAATTTAATAATTTAATAATTTAATAAAATACCGATTTGTAACCTTTAGGTTAAATTACATCAGTAAAAAGTCTCATTATACTACAAAATGAATATCTAAATGCATAAAATTATTCATAACTTCAGTTGAAAAAGTTATAGAGTTCAAATTTAAAAATATTAAAATTATGGTCTATTCATATGTGAAACCATCTGTGGAAAAAACGATTTCATAAATCTGTCCGTTTTACAACTATAGTTATTATAATCGCTTCCATAACGTGTATTATAGTTATGTTCAAGTTTAGGAGGTAAGAGCTAGGTCACCCAATTTGTCTCCATGTGCATTTTTAACAAAAAAACGTTTGCATAATAATCGCCGCCGATCTTTCAGTAAGGGTATACCAATAATACTGCAAGCTTCTCTGTAAGTAGCGAATGGCAAGACAATACGCAGAGCCCGCTTCTGGAGTTTTTCGATATCTTCACTTAGGTATTCTGTAATATTGAAGTGCCAAACTTGGCAGGCATATTCGAGTACTGGTCTGATAATGGTGCAGTATACCAAAATTAGAATGCTATTGTCGGCATTTGATCGTTTTAACAACCTTAGCATATAAAGGCGTTTTCCCGCTTTTTTAACAATATGGTTCACATGCTCGTTCCATTTCAAATCATCTTGAATTGAAAGACCAAGAATTCGGGCAGATTTTACCCGCTCAATACCAACGTTATTTATGGTTAACAGTAAGAACTCATGTTCTTCTCTTGCAAAGTCAATTACCATTTCCTTACATTTGCCGATGTTGAGCTTCATATTATTAACTTCACACCAATTATAGATAACATTCACTAGATCTTGTAGTTCACTACTCTCAGTTGATGTAACTCGTTGAGCAAACGTACTGTCATCAACATACTTCCATCTATCGCTCCAATCAATAAGAAGATCATTTATCATAACAAGGAACAAAGCCGGCCCTAACACCGACCCTTGCGGCACTCCACCGTTTAACGTTTACCAGTCCGAATGACAGTTA